TTGTCTTGGGAGTCTAAAGGACGCAAGCATCCTGAAGTTTCGGAGGAAACTCTTAATAAACTCAGAAACTATTTCCGACCTCACATAAAATCATTCTGCTCAATGGCCAATGTATCTTTTAACTGGTGCAATCTATAATAAAAGCCCATTTCTACCTCTCTCCCTGTATCATTCATTTGTATCCATTCAATCATTTTATAAACTATTTTATTACTTGTACTAACTTTCACTTTCTTGTATATACAAATAAAGTTTAAAAAAGTACACGTCAAGGCATATGGAAAGCAGCTGTCCTTTCGTTTGCTATTCAAATTCTGCCCCAAAAGTGATGCTAACATTGCCAGGATGAATGAAAGTAGCATGAAACCAGGAATTGGTATCAATTACGACTAAAAAAAAAGAAAATCAAATAATTATTCTCATTATTAATACACTTACTGATATCCCCAGTATCTACCGTCACATTAAAAGTTGAGCATGTCGTTTCGCATTCTGGAGGAGGAGCTAGTGTCCATGTCTTCTTCCCGGAGAGTTGAGCCTGCCAGGAGACACGACCAACAAAATCAATCTAATAAAATCAACAATAATTATTATTATTATCAATAATTGTGTATTACATGGAGTCCGGCCCCAGGACCAGGTGCTCCCATAAATATCCATGCCAGATTGTCTTCACTTGGTACGGGAGGTAGGAAGTATGGGACTTTAACGTGTTTACGCAACTCCTCCCCGACAAAATTATCCGTTGTACTCCTACAAGAATGACATTATAAAGAGGGGGCTATCATCAAATTAAACTATTATTAAAGCTTCTTCTTCTTATAAACTTACCAGCCAATGTACCACTTCTTTCCTTTGAAGGAAGCAGTTTCATTATCAAGTGAGAGAAACTCGTCTAGAGTAAATATTCCCGAGCTGTAAGGAAAGAACTGTCCTTCTTCACGATCGTGGGTGATTGCCTCAGGGTTCTTTGTATAAAGTCCTTTAAAATACTCGTACGAAAAGATACTCATTGCCGGCCAATTTGAGGCAGCCCCTTTCACTAATACAGGCTGGAGAGAGGTAGCATGGTTATTCATGAAATCCATTACAGATATGCTATTGATGGTAACAGCATTCGTTATGTTCAAGCAACTGTTGCAGTCGATTATCTTGGTAGCAAAATCATGAAGCATGGGTTGAGCTAAAAGACACGGGTCTTTTTGAATAAGTAGCTGCAGCTGACTGTAGAGAGATGAGAGGAGGAGAACCAGAGGGAGCAAACGATACAAGAGGACATAGGCTGTCTTTAAAACTGAGACTTTCATTATTCGAAGGAACGACATGGTAGCTTTCTCTTTCTTTGATAATTCTTTATAAAATAAATCAATGGTTTGACTGATATCATCCTCTCCTAGCCCAGAGGCCCTACCAGCCTCAAAAACAGAGGATAACCGCTCGGTTACTCCTTCCACAACTTCTTCCACTCGTTCTTCCATGAGCTACAGCTACTGACTAGGCGGATCTGTAGGCGTGCTTTAAGGGTGGAGCTGGTTGATTTTTGTTTTTCCATAGACCTTCTCATGTGATCTGTATCTAATCTATACTACTGTTCCTCCCTCCCATTCATTCTCTTTTCTGTTAGGAGGGCGTCTAAGACTCAGCTACAACATGGAGACCAAGAACTGGGTCAACATTATCCTCCTTGGGTTTGGATTCTTTCTTTTGTTCTCTGCGTTCCAAACAACTGCTTTTATACAAGTGAGTTATGAACAGGAGCCATTCACAGTATTTATTCCTTTCACCCTCCAGACACTAACAATTAGCAGCTACTTATCTCCTACATGCAACCCAGGGGTAATCAGAAATGATAAAATTAACAATTATTGATATTATTTTTATAAATTTAGAATAAAACTAGTTATGGCGTGCTATCTAGTTCATTGGCAGGTAAAAACAATGGCTAA